CTGATGGGCACTGATAGGAGGCACTGATAGGCGGCATTGATAGGCAGCACTGATGATGCTGCACTGATAAGCTGCACTGATGGGCGGGCCCTGATGGGCGGCACTTCTGGGGCACTGATGGGTGGCACTGCTGGGTAGCACTGATGGGTGGCACCACTGGGCACAGCTGGGTGGCACTGATGGGCACAGGAGGGTGGCACTGCTAGGCACAGGTGGGTACCACAGGTGGGTGGCACTGCTAGGTACAGGTGGTTGGCACTGCTAGGCAGGGGTGGTTGACACTGCTTGGTGGCACTGCAGGGCACAGGTGGGCTGCACTGATGGGTACAGGTGGGATGGGCAGGTGGGTTGCACACTGGGCACAGTGCCCTGATGATCAGTGTCGATCACTTCTCTGACAATTGCCGGTTATCGGCAATACTTTATTCACTGTGTGACAGCGTGAGGAAAGTGCAGCCAATAACCGGCAACCGTATGTACCCGGTGATCTGCTGTATCATTGGACACAGCTGATCACGTGGTAAAAGGCCGCCGTGATTGGCCGTTTACCGTATCCTGTGATCAGCTGTGTATCCATGTTCTACATTTTCACAAGTAAAATTACGAGGGATTAAACTGCCGTGTCTTATTGGAGTGTTGAGCTGTCTGTGGTGAACGCTGACCCAGCAAGTGATCATATGGGCCAGACAGACGGAGGTCTAACGGAGGAATGTGAATGCACAAAGCAGTGCTGGAAACAGAACAATATTAGTATAGAACGATAGAATATACCAAAAAGGAAAAGGGGGAAAACACAAAGTGTGTACTGTCTCATTTTTTTCAAGCCACTTTGGAGATTTATTTCCTATTGTAAAAAAAAAAAAAAAAAAAAAAAAAAAGTTAAAAAAAAAAGTAATAAAACTTAAGGAAATGACCAAACAACATTTTAAAAGCAATCAAATACAATTATAAACACTCCACAGCAAAAATACATTTAAAATTAAATTAGATACTATAATTAAAAGTCCAAAAATAAAGTCCAAAAAATTATTTTCAAAATATATGAATTTTGCTCAATCCCCCCCAAAAAAGTGCTCCACAATTCTTCAAACAAATGTGCTCCCCCCATCCGTGATGAATGCTCCTCCCCCCTCACCAGATGGAATGGACTCTTCCTGATATGGCACAAGAGTCAGACAAGCGTAGAATGAGTGGGCGTGTCCTCCCAGATAACTCTGTACTCAATATCCTCCAGAAACGACTCCCACGATTGGATGACAATGGAAAACAAAACAAAAACAACAAATAGTGCAATACTGTAAAAAAATCTTTAATTTTAAAAAAAGTCTGCCTTCTATACACTCACATGATACAAAATATAGTCAGGCTTCATAATAGGCCCAGAGGCTCATATTATATGACAGATTTCCATTTGTAGAAGTGGACTGGCAAAGATAGATAGAAAATCCTTCTAGACAAGCAGGAAGTCACTCCGGAACACCGCGCAAACCAGCGTGCGTTCCACTCACCGGACGTGACGTCACCACGCACCCACCGGAACCGGAAATACGTCAATGCGTTTCACCCTCCTCCAGGGCGTTATCCAAGACATCATTTTCCAGCTCCTAACATCTTATATACCTCCCCACTACTCCTCCCCTTTCTCCATTCAGCCAAATCCATCCCATTAACCCTCTAACACCTCATCCCTCTCCAATCCACTTCCCAATTACAATCTCCAAGCCAACATACACATACCAATATCGATATTTTAATTCCACAGACACCTAATTACCTCTCTATTTATTTTAAATCATCATAATAACAAAAATGTACTCCATACTAATCTAATCTAATAGACCCCAAACAATAGTTCTAAAAAAAAAAATTATATGTAAAAATAAAAGTAAATAAGAATAAAAAAAATAAGAAAAATAAAAAAATATATATAAAATAAAAATAAAAATAAAAAAATAAAATAACAAAAAAAAATAAAAAAAAAATAAAAAAAAAAAAAAAAAAAAAAAAAAAAAAAACAAAAAAATAATAAATAAAAAACAAAAAATAATTAAAATTTAAAAAAAAAAAAATAAAATAAAAAAATAAAAAAAAAAAAAAAAACTACAAAATTACACAATAAACAACAATCAAGGAATTCATATCTAATAGACACTACAAATTGGACAAGAAACAATTAAGATCGACATCTATATAGCCCCTTAGGGGATAAAGTATTCAATTTTAGGATCCATCTTGTCTCATTCTGAAAAATCCACCTAGTCATATTTTACCACGGCCAGCGGTCACAAACTGATATTTTGATAAAAAGGTTTGAGGAAAAAGGATATAAAAGCAAGGAGTTGTTGGATACTAGGGATAGAGAGATGGATATGGATAGGGAGGATCTTTTGAGGGAAAAGGTTAGAGAAAGAGGGAAATTTAATTTGGCATTCATTTTAGGTTCTTCAAAACAGCATAAATTGGTTGAGAATATTTTTAGAGACCGCTGGCCAATATTACTGCAAGATGAGGTATTGGGGAGGCTTTTACCGAGGCACCCTAAATTCATTTATAGGAGACCACCAACTATTAGGAATAAACTTGTGAGAAATGTCCCAGACCCACCTTCCAAGAAAAACTACTTTTGTGGATCAGGTGGGATTTTTCAAATGTGGGAGGTGTTTGGCTTGTAAAGTGATGAAGGGTGACAGAATAGGAACATCTTACAATTTCAGTCACAGGCTAAAGGGGAATTATATAATATTCAGAAATGTGTTTCATGTGATAGACATCATGTAATGTATTTGTTGGAATGTCCCTGTCACCTTCAATACGTGGGAAGAACAACTAGAAAATTATCTGTAAGACTGGGGTGAGCATATTAGAAACATTAAAAGAGGTTTTAGGCATCACAGTTTGTCCTACCATTTTAGGAAAGTGCCACAATAGGGATCCATCTTTGCTCAGGTTCTGTGGGATTGACAAAGTTGAGCCTCATTGGTGTGGTGGCAACATGACTAGGTCGATTTCACAGAATGAGACAAGATGGATCCTAAAATTGAATACTTTATCCACTAAGGGGTTGAATATAGATGTTGATCTTAACTGTTTCTTGTCCAATTGGTAGTGTCTAGTAGATATGAATTCTTTGATTGTTGTTTATTGTAGAATTGTATTTTTTTATTTTTTTATTTTTTTATTTTTTTGCCATTTTTATTTTTTTTTATTTTTTTTATTTCATTTTTATTTTTATTTTTTTTTTTTTTTTTTTTTTTTTTTTTTTTTTTTTTTTTTATTTTTTTTTTTTTTATTTTTGTTATATTTATTTAATATTTGTTTTATGTTTAATTTTTTTCATGTATTTTATTCTTTGTATTAGATTAATCAGTATGGAGGAATATTTGTTATTATTAAAATAAATAGAGAGGTAATTAAGTGTTTGTTGTTTATAATATTGATATTGTTATGTGTATGTTGGCTTGGAGATTGTAATTGGGAAGTGGATTGGAGGGATGAGGTGTTGAGAGGGTTAATGGGATGGATTTGGCTGAATGGAGAAAGGGGAGGAGTAGTGGGGAGGTATATAAGATGTTAGGAGCCGGAAAATGATGCCTTGGATAACGCCCTGGAGGGGGTGAAACGCGTGTCGTCGTATTTCCGGTTCCGGTGGGTGCGTGGTGACGTCACGTCCGGTGAGTGGAACGCACGCTGGTTTGCGGTGTTCCGGAGTGACTTCCTGTTGTCTAGAAGGGATTTCTATCTATCTTTGCCAGTCCACTTCTACAAATGGAAATCTGTCATATAATATGAGCCTCTGGGCCTATTATGAAGCCTGACTATATTTTGTATCATGTGAGTGTATAGAAGGCAGACTTTTTTTATAATTAAAGAGTTTTTTACAGTATTGCACTATTTGTTGTTTTTGTTTTGTTTTCCATTGTCATCCAATCGTGGGAGTCGTTTCTGGAGGATATTGAGTACAGAGTTATCTGGGAGGACACGCCCACTCATTCTACGCTTGTCTGACTCTTGTGCCATATCAGGAAGAGTCCATTCCATCTGGTGAGGGGGGGGAGGAGCATTCATCACGGATGGGGGGAGCACATTTGTTTGAGGAATTTTGGAGCACAGGTTTTTTTTGGGATTGAGCACAATTCATATTTTTTTGGAAAAAAAAATTTTTTTTTTGTGTTGATTTTTTATTTTTTTTTGGACTTTTATTGATAGTATTTTAATTTTGATATATAATTTATTTGCGCTGTGGAGTGTTTAGAATTTTACTAAAATTTTGCAGGGTCCATGGGAAGAGCAAGATATAGTGAATGCAGGGTCTGGGGAGAGTGGATATAGTGAATGCAGGTCCGGGGGGAGACCGGATATAGTGAATGCAGGGTCCGGGGAGAGCGGGGGCATATAGTGAATGCAGGGTCCGGGGAGACCAGATATAGTGAATGCAGGTCCGGGGAGAGACCAGATATAGTGAATGCAGGTACTGGGGAGAGCAGATATAGTGAATGCGGGGTCCGGGGAGAGAGATATAGTGAATGCAGGGTCCAGGGGAGAGAGATATAGTGAATGCAGGGTTCCAGGGAGAGCTGGATATAGTGAATGCAGGGTCCGGGGAGAGTGGATATAGTGAATGCAGGGTCCCGGGAGACCTGATATAGTGAATGCAGGGTTCAGGGGACCAGATATAGTGAATTCCAGGGTCCAGGAGAGCGGATATAGTGAATGCAGTGTGCTGGGAGACCAGATCATAGGGACAGCAGGGTTATAGTATATGTAAGCGGCTCTTGGAATAGTGATTCCAGGGTCCAGGCAATAGCATTCATATAAGTGGCCCAGTGCTTTGAACTGGCATTTAGTGAGGGCCTGGGACGAGATACGTGAATGCAGGGTCCGGAGCCACGTGGAGGCCAGGGGCGGGGGGCCATCATATAGTGTGCAGGGTCCGGGGAGAGTGGATTAGTGAATCTTGCGGGACACATCTTGATGAATGCCTAGGGAATGGGGATGCTTTTGATATCCTCTAATGCAGGGTGCATGGGGGACATATATAGTACATGCATGGGTGTCCTTGGGGAAACAGATGAGTGAACTTTGCAGGGTGCAGGGAACCCTGATATTGGAATCCTACAGGGTAACTGGGAGGAGGAGGATCTGTAAATGCATCCATATAGGAGGGACCCATTATAGTGAACCAGAGGGCTTTATTCGGATCTTGAATGGATTGAGGATCCATGAGGTTTGGATGCATACTGCATTTATGTGAATGCAGGGTCTGGGGAGTGCGATATTTTTCAGCCGCTGATATTCCTGAATGCAGGGATCAGATATAGACATAGTGATTCCCACTTGTCACTTGACACGTTTTTATGAATGGACTTACAGTGGACAGATATATCAGGGTTTTATGATCAGATATAGTGAATGAAGGTTCCTATTTAGTGAATGCAGGGTCCAGGGAGAAGATATAGTGAATGCAAGTTCTGGGGAGAGTGATTAGTGAATGCAGGGTCCAGGGATCAGATATAGTGAATGCAGGGTCCTGCTGGGAGACTGCGGATATATTGAATGCAGGGTTCAGGGGAGAGTGATATAGTGAATGCAGGGTCCGGGAGAGACTCATATATAGTGAATGCAGGGTCCGGGGGAGACCGGATATAGTGAATGCAGGGTCCGGGAGAGCGGATATAGTGAATGCAGGGTCCAGGGAGAGCGGATATAGTGAATGCAGGGTCCGGGGAGAGCGGATATAGTGAATGCAGGGTCCGGGGAGAGCGGATATAGTGAATGCAGGGTCCGGGGAGAGCAGATATAGTGAATGCAGGGTCCGGGGAGAGCAGATATAGTGAATGCAGGGTCCGGGGGAGATCGGATATAGTGAATGCAGGGGCCAGGAGGAGGAGTGTGTGGATGACGTCACAACGTTACCATTCATTGGGACAGCGGTTATAGTACTCTGTAAGTGGCTCCTGGAACGACATTACAGCAGGCAATAGCATTCATTAAGTGGCCCCGTGCTTTGCCTGGCATTACATTACGGATGGGGTCTGGTTTGAGCATGTACAGGACTCTGCTGCTGAGATGATACTGCCATCTAGTGTCTAATCAGTACATCACTGGATGTTCATCATACCTGGTGCAATATACACCTCCGGAACGTGAGTGCATTTCTTATGTTTAATTGATGAATAAAAGTGTAAAAGGATAAAGCACTATGTGGAGTTCTTTGTAATGAGGAATACGGCTGATACAAAGACGCTTATCAGGAGGGAGATTACTTTGGAGTCCTCATTCAACAAGCTGATCTTCTGAGTCCAAATGGGACCAAAAGTGCAGTTAGAGGTAACATTGTATAATGTGCGGTCACACTGCGTGAGGTGAGCAGATATATGGTGGAGGATGTCTTTGCACGGGAATTGATGACAGATGCACATATTTTTCGTTATCCAAAGGAGAGTTCACAGAAGAACACTTTATTGATTGAACTTGAGTTTTTGAATGACTTTTCTTGATTCATACTTAAAAAATACTTTTTGATTTTTTTTTTTGTGGTCCTTGTTTTTTATATATATATATATACTTTTATTTACTTAATTCTTTTTTCAATAATTTTTTTATTTTATTATTTATTTTTTCACTTTGCTTTTTTGATATATAGGAATTGTACAATTGTTTCATGTAGCGCAGCATTTTTTTCACTTTATAATATGATAGTGAATGCAGGGTCTGGGGAGACCAGATATAGTGAATGCAGGGTCCGGGGAGAGATATAGTGAATGCAGGGTCCGGGGAGAGACCAGATATAGTGAATGCAGGGTCCGGGGAGACCAGATATAGTGAATGCAGGGTCTGTGGAGACCAGATATAGTGAATGCAGGATCTGTGAAGACCAAATATTGTGAATGCAGGGTCGGGGGGGGGACTGGATATAGTGAATGCAGCGTCAAGGGAGAGCAGATATAGTGAATGCATGGTCTGGGGGGATCGGATATAGTGAATGCAGGGTCCGGGAAGACCAGATATATGCAGGTATATGTGCATGGGGTCCTGGGAGATTGGATATAGTGAATGCAGGGTCTGGGGGGAGAGTGGATATAGTGAATGCAGGGTCTGGGGAGAGTGGATATAGTGAATGCAGGGTCTGGGGAGAGTGGATATAGTGAATGCAGGGTCCTGGGGAAGATCGGATATAGTGAATGCAGGTCTGGGGGAGACCAGATATAGTGAATGCAGGGTCTGGGGAGATATAGTGATATAGTGAATGCAGGGTCAGGGGGAGAGTGGATATAGTGAATGCAGGGTCCAGGGAGAGCAGATATAGTGAATGCAGGGTCTGGGGAGACCGGATATAGTGAATGCAGGGTCCGGGGAGACCGGATATAGTGAATGCAGGGTCTGGGGAGATGGGATATAGTGAATGCAGGGTATAGTGAATGCAGACCAGATATAGTGAATGCAGGGTCGTGGGGGGGGGGATCGGATATAGTGAATGCAGCATCCAGGGAGAGCAGATATAGTGAATGCAGGGTCCGGGGAGACCGGATATAGTGAATGCAGGATCTGTGAAGACCAGATATAGTGAATGCAGGTTTGGGGGGACCGGATATTGTGAATGCAGCGTCCAGGGAGAGTAGATATAGTGAATGCGGGGTCTGGGGAGATCGGATATAGTGAATGCAGAGTCCGGGGAGACCAGATATAGTGCATGGGGGTCCTGGGAGATTGGATATAGTGAATGCAGGGTCTGGGGAGAGAGGATATAGTGAATGCAGGGCTCCTGGGAGACCAGATAAAGTGAATGCAGGGTCCTAGGGACCAGATATAGTGAATGCAGGGTCCTGAGAGAGTGGATATAGTGAATGCAGGGTCCTAGGAAGAGCGGATATAGTGAATGTAGAGCCCAGGGAGACAGATATAGTGAATGAAGTGTCCAGGGAGAGCAGATATAGTGAATCTAGGGTCCAGGGGAGAGCGGATATAGTGAATGCAGGGTCCGGGAGACCAGATATAGTGAATGCAGGGTCCTGTGAGACCAGATATAGTGAATGTAGTGCCTGGGAGAGCGGATATATGTGAATGCAGGGTCTGGGGAGACCAGATATAGTGAATGCAGGGTCTGGGAGAGACTGGATATAGTGAATGCAGGAGGGGGAGGGATGGATATAGTGAATGCAGGGTCAGGGGAGATGGATATAGTGAATGCAGGGAATCTGGGGAGAGCAGATATATAGTGAATGCAGGGTCCAGGGAGACCGGATATAGTGAATGCAGGGTCCTGGGAAGACCAGTTATAGTGAATGCAGGTTCCGGGCAGACCAGTGGATTATAGTGAATGCAGGGTCCAGGGAGAGCAGATATAGTGAATGCAGGGTCTAGGGAGAACTGGATATAGTGAATGTAGGGTCGGGGAGAGACTATATATAGTGAATGTAGGGTCCTGGAGAAAGGATATAGTGAATGCAGGGTCCGGGGAGAGCGGATATAGTGAATGCAGGGTCTGGGGAGAGTGGATATAGTGAATGCAGGGTCTGGGGAGAGCGGATATAGTGAATGCAGGGTCTGGGAGAGCGGATATAGTGAATGCAGGGTCCTGCAGGGTGGGGAGAACGGATATAGTGAATGCAGGGTCCGGGGAGACCGGATATAGTGAATGCAGGGTTCGGGGAGAGCGGATATAGTGAATGCAGGGGGCAGATATTGTCAATGCAGGGTCCGGGGAGAGCGGATATAGTGAATGCAGGGTCCCGGGGAGGAGTGTGTGGATGACGTCACAATATTACCATTCATCGGGACAGCGGTTATAGTACTCTGTAAGCGGCTCTTGGAACGACATTACAGCAGCCAATAGCATTCATTAAGTGGCCCCGTGCTTTGCCTGGCATTACATTACGGATGGGGTCTGGTTTGAGCATGTACAGGACTCTGCTGCTGAGATGATACTGCCATCTAGTGTCTAATCAGTACATCACTGGATGTTCATCATACCTGGTGCAATATACACCTCCGGAACGTGAGTGCATTTCTTATGTTTAATTGATGAATAAAAGTGTAAAAGGATAAAGCACTATGTGGAGTTCTTTGTAATGAGGAATACGGCTGATACAAAGACGCTTATCAGGAGGGAGATTACTTTGGAGTCTTCATTCAACAAGCTGATCTTCTGAGTCCAAATGGGACCAAAAGTGCAGTTAGAGGTAACATTGTATAATGTGCGGTCACACTGCGTGAGGTGAGCAGATATATGGTGGAGGATGTCTTTGCACGGGAATTGATGACAGATGCACATATTTTTCGTTATCCAAAGAAGGGTTCACAGAAGAACTTTATTGATTGAACTTGAGTTTTTGAATGACTTTTGCTTGATTCGTACTTAAAAAATACTTTTTGATTTTTTTTTGTGTGGTCCTTGTTTTCATTTATATATATAGATTTATATACTTAATTCTTTTTTCAATAATTTTTATTTTATTATTTATTTTTTCACTTTGCTTTTTGATATACAGGAATTGTGCAATTTTTTCATATAGCTCATTTTTTTAATAATATGATAGTGAATGCAGGGTCCGGGGGGACCAGATATAGTGAATGCAGGGTCCTTTGGAGAGCAGATGTAGTTAATGCAGGGTCTGGAGGGACCACATATAATGAATGCAAGGTCCTGGAAAAGTGTATATAGTGAATGCAGGGTCTGGGGAGAGCGGATATAGAGAATGCAGGGTCCGGGGAGACCAGATATAGTGAATGCAGGGTCCGGGGAGACCAGATATAGTGAATGCAGGGTCCGGGGAGACCAGATATAGTGAATGCAGGGTCCGGGGAGACCAGATATAGTGAATGCGGGGTCCGGGGAGACCAGATATAGTGAATGCAGGGTCCAGGGAGACCAGATATAGTGAATGCAGGGTCCTGGAAGACCAGTAATAGTGAATGCAGGGTCCTGGAAGACCAGTAATAGTGAATGCAGGGTCTGGGGAGACCAGTTATAGCAGCGGTTCTCAACCTGTGGGTAGCGACCCCTTTGGGGGTCGAACGACCATTTCACAGGGGTCGCCTAAGACCATCGGAAAACACATATTTCCGATGGTCTTAGAACCGAGACACCGCTCCTCTATCTGTCTCAGGCGATGTGTGGGCGGGATGACATGCTGCCCCTGTCACCTGGCCACACCTCCGGGATCACTCAACAGCTCCGCCTCCTCTCCGCTAATTGGCCACCAGAACTGTAGCTCAGGAGAGGCACACAGGAGCTTGGAGAGGAGGAGCTGAGCGGCAGCACGCGTAGATCAAAGAAGATCGAGCGAGGGAGCTGCCGGAGTGAGTGAAGAGGAGAGCGACCAGAGAAGGAAGACAGCTGACAGGTAAGTGCAAATTTTGCTGCTGCAGCCAGGTATGCAGGCTGTAGATGGGAGAGGGAGAGTGCGAGCCCAGGCTGGAGCAGGGGTCAGCAAGGTAAGTATCATTGGTGTAAGTGGGAGGAATAGTGCCCCATCATTGGTGTCACCAATACCAATAATGGGGCACTATTTCCCCCATACATACACCAACGATGGGGCACTATTCCTCCCCCCTCTGACACTAACGATGGGGCACTATTCCTCCCCCCACTGACACCAACGATGGGACACTATTCCTCCCCCCACTGACACCAACGATGGGGCACTATTCTTCCCCCCACTGACACCAACGATGGGGCACTATTCTTCCCCCCACTGACACCAACGATGGGGCACTATTCCTCCCCCCACTGACACCAACGATGGGGCACTATTCCTCCCCCCACTGACACCAAGGTTGGGGCACTATTCCTCCCCCCATCGACACCAATGATGGGACACTATTTCCCCCCCCCCCCCCACTGACACCAATGATGGGGCACTATTCCCCCCCCCCTGACCCCAACGATGGGGCAATATTCCCCCCTCCACCACACTGACATCAATGATGGGGCACTATTCCTCCCACTGATACCAATGATGGGGCACTATCCCCCCCCCCCCCGACCCCAATGATTGGGCACTATTCCCCCCTCCACCACACTGACATCAATGATGGGGCACTATTCCTCCCACTGACATCAATGATGTGGCACTATTCCTCCCACTGACACCAATGATGAGACACTATTCCTCCCACTGACACCAATGATGGGGCACTATTCCTCCCACTAATACCAATGATGGGGCACTATTCCTCCCACAGACACCAATGACGGGACACTATTCCTCCCACTGATACCAACGATGGGGCACTATTCTTCCCCCCACTGACACCAACGATGGGGCACTATTCCTCCCCCCACTGACACCAACGATGGGGCACTATTCCTCCCCCCACTGACACCAATGATGGGGCACTATTCCTCCCCCCACTGACACCAAGGTTGGGGCACTATTCCTCCCCCCATCGACACCAATGATGGGACACTATTCCCCCCCCCCCCCCCACTGACACCAATGATGGGGCACTATTCCCCCCCCCCTGACCCCAACGATGGGGCAATATTCCCCCCTCCACCACACTGACATCAATGATGGGGCACTATTCCTCCCACTGATACCAATGATGGGGCACTATCCCCCCCCCCGACCCCAATGATTGGGCACTATTCCCCCCTCCACCACACTGACATCAATGATGGGGCACTATTCCTCCCACTGACATCAATGATGTGGCACTATTCCTCCCACTGACACCAATGATGAGACACTATTCCTCCCACTGACACCAATGATGGGGCACTATTCCTCCCACTAATACCAATGATGGGGCACTATTCCTCCCACAGACACCAATGACGGGACACTATTCCTCCCACTGATACCAACGATGTGGCACTAGTCCTCCCACTGCAAAATTACAGTTATGAAGTAGCCAGGAAAATAATTTTATGGTTGGGGGTCACCTCAACATGAGGAACTGTATTAAAGGGTCGCGGCTAGAGATGAGCGAATTATTCAAAAATTCGATTCGGCTGATTCGCCGAATTTCAGGAAGAAATTCGATTCGATGCGAATTTATTCGCTACGAAGTTAACTTATAAAAAGGTATATATAAAATAAATGGTGCAGCGCTAAAAACTAGAGTACAGTTTATACACACAATATATATATAAACATGCATGATATCACTCTGAGGGTGATCAATGAATACAAAAGTTCAGTGAAATAGTGCGGATCATGGAGAGATCCCAATTCAAGGTGAGTGGACGTCCTGATCCAAGGTGTGATGGTAGGTGTGGTCACACAAATAGGTGAAAAACGCACTCACCAGATGTGCGTTTAATATACGCAATATGTAATCCTGCGTCACCAGGCCATAAAGCGATCATCAGATCCCAGATCAGATTGTGGATCTGATGATCGCTTTATGGCCTGGTGACGCAGGATTACATATTGCGTATATTAAACGCACATCTGGTGAGTGCGTTTTTTCACCTATTTGTGTGACCACACCTACCATCACACCTTGGATCAGGACGTCCACTCACCTTGAATTGGGATCTCTCCATGATCCGCACTATTTCACTGAACTTTTGTATTCATTGATCACCCTCAGAGTGATATCATGCATGTTTATATATATTGTGTGTATAAACTGTACTCTAGTTTTTAGCGCTGCACCATTTATTTTATATATATGTTTGATTTGGAGGTTTTACTTGGTTACCTTTTCGGTGTATCAGCTGCTCATTAACGTTTTTGTGTATACACATTGATACACTTTTTGCATTTAAGTCGCGCTTTAATATACCAATATGTAATGCCTGTCCTGCGTTCAAACCAGTCCATAAAAGCGATCATCATATCCCAGATCAGATTGTGGATCTGGATGATCGCTTTATATGGCCTTGGTGACGCAGGAATTACATATTGCGTAAATATTAAACGCAACATCTGGTGATGAGCGTTTTTTTCACCCTCATTTGTGTGACCCACACTACCAATCACACCTTGGATCAGGACGTCACGTCACCTTGAATAGGGATCTCTCCCCATGAATCCGCACATATTTCACTGAACTTTTTGTAATCATTGATCACCCTTCAGAGTGATATCATGCATGTATTATAGTATTATTGTGTTGTATAAACAGATACTCTTAATTTTTAGCGCAGAACACCATTTTATTTTATATATATGTTTTGATTTGGAGGTTTTAACCTTAGGTTTACCTTTTTCGGTGTATCAGCTGCGCAATGAACGTTTTTGATGTATTCACATTGATTACACTTTTTGCATTTAAGTCGCGCTCAACTTTAAACATCTTTTATTACAAGAACTTATAAAAAGTTTTCAAGGCTTCAGAGCAGCCTTTTCAACTTTAACATCTTTTATTACAACTTAATAAAAAGGTTTCTAGGCTCAGAACAGCCTTTAAATTAGTGCAGAACACAGTACCTTTAATTTAAGACTAGCCCTTGGAGATGAGGAAGGAGAATGAGAAAAGGAAAGAGAGGATGAGAAGGAAGTAGCCGAAGGATGAAGGAGAAGGCTGAGAGAAGAAGGAGAATGAGAAGTGATAGAGAAGAAGGAGAAGGAGAAGGATGAGCAGAAGGAGAAGTGATGAGAAGAAGGAGATAGTGAAAAGGAAGAAGAAAGAAGGAGAAGGAGAATGAATGAGAGACGATGGAGAAGTTGATGAGAAGAAGGAGAAGGATGAGAAAGAAGGAGCCGGTGAGAAGGTATGAGAAGAAAGGAGAAGGAGAAGGAATGAGAAGAAGGAGAAGTGATGAGAAGAAGGAGCAGGAGAAGGATGAAAGAAGGAGAAGGATGAGGAACTAAGGAGAAGGATGAGAAAAGATGAGAAGAAGGAGAAGGAATGAGAAGAACGGGATGGAGAATAAGGAGAAGGAATGAGAAAAAGAAGGAGAAATAAGGACTAGAGAAAAGAGAAGGATGAGAAGAGGAAGGATGAGAAGAAGAGAAGGATGAGAAGAAGGAGACGGATGAGAAGAAGGATGATAAGAAGTAGATTGGGATGAGAAGAAGGAGATGAAAAAGAAGACAGAGAAGAGATAGAAAGAAGGAGACGGAGGAAAGGAAGATAGAAGAAGGAAGAAAAGGAGAGAGGATCAGAGAAGAAGGAGAGAAAGGGATAAAGAGGAGAAGGATCAAGAAGAAGTGAAGAAGAGAGAAGATAGGAGAAGGGATAGAGAATAAGGGAGAGAAAGATGAGACTGAAGGAGAGAGATGAGAAGAAGGAGAGAAGAAGGAGAAGACGACACAAGAAGAAGGATGAGAAGAAGGAGAAGGATGAGGAAGAAGTGAGAAGGGAGATAGAAGATGAGGATGAAGTTAGAAGGAAGCTCGAGTAGAGATAAGTGAGAAGGAAGAGGATGAGAAGAAGGAGAACTCTTGTCTTACAGTTATATCTTCTCAGCAAGACGCACACGGATAGATACGGAGCAAGAGAAGGGTTAGTTCCAAAGGCTATGAGAAAAAGTGCACCCCTCTTTTAGGTTCATGCAGCTGATGAAGCAAGAACCCAGACCAGAACAGAGATGAGAAAGAAGGAGTAAAAGGATGAAGAAAGAACCCGGAGAATGGAAGAAAAAAGGAGAAGGATAGAAATACAAGTGGGGGACAAGAAGGATGAAGTAAGAACCCCGCACGCAGAAGAAGACACCCCACCCCAAGGATGAGAAGAAGGAGACTGGAGTAGGATGAGAAGTCGTCTAAGGAGACTAGTTCCATAAGGATGATTGAAAAAGGAGAAGGAGAAGGATGAGAAGAAGGATGTAAGGAGTTCCCGACCGTAGAACCAAAGGAGAAGGAGAACACCGATTCAAAGAAGGAGAGTAAACATAGGTCCTTATAGAAAGTAGACATAGTAGAAGCGATGAGAATAAGT